TCCGTGCTTTGACCTGTAACATGGATAAAACATAGTCATTGCATGGTGTGACAAACTGCCCTTTGTCACTGGCTTTTTATGCAACAAAATTCCCTTTGTCCCAGCCTCCTGCCTTATAATTATGGCCCTGGGGCGTATGGCCCTTTGGGCATATTGGATTGTAACACACTTTTTCTGCCCCTTTAATTCCATGAGAAAATGTACCCCCCCCCCGTTACCTGTCTATTGTTTCTCCAGCAGGGCGTTGTCCCAGGAACACTGCCAGACCAGTTTAAACTGGCTGTTTTGTTCCTCCTCAATCTCTCATCAGCCCTTGCTAAACTTTAACCCCATGGCGATTTTATTCTGTTCGTGGGATCTGAGCGCTGTTCGGCTATATTGAGCCCTCAGATCCAAGCTATCTGAGGATAGGTTGCATTTGGGGGTTCTGTTCAGTATAATTGGAATTATGTATTTTTACTGTTGTTGTAAATGGAGATATTTGCTGTACCTGGATATAATTGGCTTACCACACCCAGTTAAGCCAATTATCTCCAGGATAGAGGAGAAGATAGACCAACCGCACAGTCTAAATCTGTGGAACTGTTTTGGGCATGAAAGCCAAGCTTGCAGTCGGTCAAATAGGACTTCCATCTAACTTTTGAACCACTGGACCAAATTGTATGATTTTTGGATATGTTTGTATACTGATTATGCTGATTCAGAATATGTAACTTGGAACTATGGAAATTGTATGTATGGTTGGGAAGTTATGAATATTGTATAAAACTGTATATTTTCCTGCCTGTGATAATTAAGTTAACCCATTGTGTTCAGTAATTCTATCACAGGCAGAGGGGAGGGTTTGTGTGCCTTGGCTGGGAGTGTCTGACTGTATTGTAATGTGTTTGATTGGCTGTTCCACAAGACCACGTGGGTGGTAACCTTGTGGAAAATCTTGTATAAAAGAAAGTCCTTTGGTGCTCATTAAACAGACCTGCTTGACCCTTTCTTGAAGCCTTGGCTCATGCTTGGGGGATGGGTGTCATGCGGTAACACTTCCGGGTTCGGCACTCCGCTGTGCGGACCCGGACCCCGCCCCCCTCTGATGCGGCTCTAACGGTATTTAGGGAGACCGCGCCATAGAGAGGATGCTTGGTGATACTGGGAGCTACTTCCTCCAGACTTACCTCTCCACAGGCTCTGGCAATGTGGGTCCTGCTTCCGAATATGCATGCCGGCTCCTGGGACACACCGGCTCTACAAACTCTGAAGTCGTCCTAGCCTTCTGGACTAAGACAAGTATGCTTCATGTCATAGAGGATTACTGGAGATCGGAAACTCTCTTACTTTACAAGTGGACCATATCCCTAAACTATTGGAGGACAACTCAGATTAACCTTAAGTATATCTTTCAGCTATTTGTCTACAATATCATTTAATAATGAACTAATGCTTGCTTACTCAAATCTTCACTGCTTCAAACTACTAATTATATGGGGGACAAATCCCATCATGCTTATTCACTATGAACTGTTCCTGCTTTGCAAATATTCTTAGCTATTTGTTTAATGTTTCTATTGAAGATTATTCTCATGAATTTAAAGAATGTTACTTAATGCGTCTCTGAGCAGAGGCGGCTCTAGACTTTATGAGGCCTTAGGCGAAACTCAAACATGAGGCCCCACTAACAAAAAAAAAAACACATATACACATTGATGCACAGTTTACCTGTGTATGTGCCTGAGAGTGTGTCTGACAGAGAGTATCCTTGTGTGTGTGAATGTATGTCTCTATGAGCATGTTTGCGTTTTTGTCTGAGACCCTATGTGTATGGGGTAGCTGCTTGAAGTGTGTTATGTATGGGGGGGGTGATGGTGAGGAGGAGAGGCGGGTGATGGTGAGAGGCGGGTGATGGTGAGAGGGAGGTGATGGTGAGAGGGAGGTGATGGTGTGGGGGGTGATGGTAATGTGAGAGTGAGGGAGGTAATGTAGTGAGGGGGGTAAAGTGAGAAG